TTTCGGTTAAACATAGCTGGACATTTTTTGTTCCAAGCAAGTCTTATAGCATTCTGGAAGCATGACCTCGAAATTTAGTAAGTGACTTTTGCGATGTTTCAAGATTTTACTTCCTTCGATGTACTGGTCTATTACGAACTCGCGAATGCCATAATGCGACTGGTGTTACCTAGGTTTCTTATAACCGAATATGTAGCTAAATTTCTACTGCAACATTAATGTTCTACATAAATACATGTCTCACAGGGAAAGATATTACGCTTTCTTTTTTGTAGTATACATGGATAAGTCAACATTTACTTTTATCTAATATTAAATTATTAATGCACACCAGAATCAAATCTTGATATTCTCCTACTTTTAGGTTACAATGCAACCACGGTCATAATCAAATTTAAATTATCTCTCCTTTTCTGTTTATTTAGGCAGCAATGCGAAACCTAATTAAAATATCTTTTTCTATCTAATTAACTAACACTGACTTATCAGAGCATTTGAAGGCAGATCCTTGAAATATTTCCTCTTGAAGCAAAATCTATAAAGTAGCACAAAGTTACAGTAAAACCTTTCGGATAACTCGTCGTAAATCAACTAAATCAACAGGGATGTTAGTCATGCGCGTAAGTTTAGCATAAGATCGCTTCTCTCTATGAACAATGGTTTGATGTCATATAGTGCTGTGACATGAATAGCAATTAATTGGATATATACCACTGTTAGAGAGAATGAAAGGATAACGATAGCCACATATATATACTTTACGTACGGACGGCGGAAGTTGCTTTACAATATTAAGAGGTACGGAATATAACAGTATTTTAGAACGGGCAAAGCACTCTTAATACATATAAAACACGTTAAAAGACAAGTAAATCTTGCCTTCGTTTCCTTGTAAATGTGGAATTTGTAAAAATTAGGGAAAATTTCGCATTTTTGAAAAGAACAAAACTTGCCGAAAACATAGTTAGATTTCATGGATAAGGATCTCTTTTTCTTCTTTCTCGTATTTTGCTGAAACGACGACTTCAGTTCCATACTCTTAGCCCTTTCAAACCTGTTGGTTGCCGTTTTTCAGCTTCAGATGTCTATTTTATGGATAGTAGAAGTTGTTTTACTACTCACTGCCAGTGCCCGCAGTTGTTTTCCCACTTGTCTTGCGGATATTTGCTTTTGAAAGTTTTGCTATTCCTCAATGAAATGTTAATTTTTTTCTAAAGCTTTAGGAAAAGTACTATATTCTAAATTTTCTTATTTGATTATAAGGTATTTCTCTCGCATTCCTAGCGTGCCTTCGCGGTGTAGTGTTTCTGCACGCTGCGCCGGTATTCCAGAGGTCCGTGGTTCGATTCCCGGAGAAGGCAGTTGCTCATTTTTCATCTCTCCGGCTTTTACAATTAACCTAATTTCTCTACATTGTTAAGAAAGTGAGTGCTTTATGTTGGAAATGATTCAGTTATCACCAGATGTAAATAGAAACAACTGAAAGGAATTTTCTCGAAGCATGGATAAAATAACTTCAACTTTGGAAGCTATCTAATTACTACACCTTTCTCGTCTCAATATGTACTTGTAGATCAGAATCGTAATGGGAAGTTCAACACTATAGCACTGTTGATTTTAAGAGCAACAAACGCATGCGAAAAATAAGTTGGATCTAACAGGGACGGAGAAGAAGCATGCATGCATATTATGTTCGGGCCTGAGAAGAGTCATAGAGAGCAAACTCTTTCTTTTGTTTTTGTTAAGGAAGTATTTCGAAGTTTTGGAGTGAATATTGTCTACAAAAATCAGTTTTCCAAGACCTTTCACTTTGAAGATTTTATATTTGCTTTAACATGCTATTGCTCACAAAATAAAAGGAAATTTTGTAACAAAAGTATTATGAAGCTTTTGTTAGAAAGTCGGGGAAAAAATAAAATTCTTAGACTAATTTATTTTTACATTATATTTGAGCTGCCTAGTTCCAGTGTTATTCATAATTACAATCGCTGTTTCACTTAGTCTGAGATACATTTGAAATAAGTTCCATTATTTAATTCTTCTAATAATTCAGACCAGTAGTACATTTTGTATATTTGTGCTGTATTTAAATGTTAAGAAAACAATACTATTAACTTAGTTAGAAATTAGATTTCTGTTTACTATTTAATTTTAATTCTGTTTACTTGGAGCTTAACCTTTCAGTTATGTCCGATATTCAGAAATCTCTTCCTAAAGATTCTTAAAACACGCTAAACGATAAGCATAGAGTTTTAATAAACGTGTGCCTGATATCGCTAACATGAAAAGAAGCATTTTCAATAATCATTCCGATGGTTTGGATGAATTCACATAACGACATTATTCTAATACCAGGACCGCACCGAAAGAGAAATGTCTTGAGTTGTTTTCCAGTCGCTGCACGTTTTACTGCAAAGCAATTACGGGAATGATATGAATCCCTATGGATTTGTAAAGTGAATTTCTGACCAAACTTAGACATTCAAGCAAACACCTCGGCGAAGTAAACTGATATTATTAGAACGCACAGATATTCTGTTTCTGTTACTAATGCTTCGAGTTTAATTAGAGATCTGGACTCAGCGTAGATCCCTCCAACTCATACTCCTACAGAGATCTGGCATCTGAATGGCTTTTTGGGGCAAAGTCCCGTAATATACGTTTCATGAGGTAGCTGGTATTAGGCGGGACGTGCCCCCTTTTCCAATGGGTCCCTAGAGATGGCTCGGGCAGTTATGAATCACGACATAAAGGCACATTCATTCATTGGGGTGCGAAGCCTGACCGCTCACGCACTATTCCTTTCCCATTATTGTGGGTTTCGCAGGTGCTATGAAGACACTCACGAGTAGTGATTTGTGAATTCCGTAAATTCGCTCGCTCCCAGGTCAAACTGAGATAAACATGTCGCCGGGACGATTTCGGAGAGGGGTGCTTTGTTGGTCATTTACTTTCCCCAACGAAAACAATGCAATCCTTGAAAGGAAAATATTTTTTTCATCAGCTCTCTTACGGTTAGCATCTCTGAGAAGAACCTTGACTTAAATGAATGAACTGAACCACTTCTGTATAACAGATTGGACATGTCATGGTAACTTTTCGATCAGTTTTAGTTTACTATAATATTTAATTTCTGGAATCATATTGCCACTAAAATTATAAACTCTTTCATTCTTTCCTTTCCTTTAAAACGTTTGCAAATGTTATGCATTATTTAATTCAATACTCTTATCAGTCTGAATGTTTAGAAGGTGTAATGGTGAAATCAAAGAATGATTTTAAATTATCTGTGGCATGTTTTGCATGCAATTTTACAGCAGAATTAAAACATTTTACTACACTGTTATCCAAAGAGAATGTTTCAACTCTCTGTATTTAAGCTGATACACTTCAAAATAATGAAACAGATAAATAACGCAATTCATTTATTTCCATGTACTCAATTAAGTTAATAATACAGAACAAAACTTTAGAAATTTATTTCTTTGAAATTAGAAGAAATCTTTAATTTTAAAAGAATAAATTCATAAGTTAATTGAAATACAGATTTAATGTTATACTTATCCAATTAAATTTTAAGTTTTAAATTCCAAGCAAAATTCCTGTTGCTTTGAAACCTTTCACAAAATTTAAAGCAACAAACCCCTTCACAATCGTTGTGGATGTACTTTAACTAATTCGAATAGCTAATAAAATTTAAATACTACATAATAATAATAATAATACAACAACATTAACAAATATAGTAATAATAAGAAGAAGCATCCAAATACGTCAATCAGAATTTTCTTCAAAAGACAGGAATCATATTTCCAATCTAAGTAATATATTTATAAACATGTGCTACCCATTTTTAATATTTTCATTGTTTATTGTGCCGGCACTGGGAATCGAACCTCAGATATTCAACTGCTAGTTGGATGTGTTGGCCAGTATATCACAAGGATGGAGGAAGAACTTCATTTTCTTACAAAATTATGCGTATATTTCAGGTGTTCTTTATCACCTCATTGTGATTGTACTTAGATCTGCGATTTTCATTTTTTAATTATTAATTTTATGTATTGTTATGACTGCAATCGTAGTTACTATGCTCTTAAGAGTCCAACAAGGGGGAGCTGACAGGGACGTTGAAGACTGTGAATTTTTCTTACTTCGGAATACTGAAGAACGGGCTGATGGTATAAATAAGGCTAATTATTCAAGTTTTCATGATTTTCTTCGAGTGTGATGCTGTGAGATGTGATATAAGTGATGTGATATCAAGTGTGATGCGAACATAAGCCAGTTTCTCTTAGAAAGTCCTCCGCGAAAGTGCTTCTACCTTAAGCAAACAACCTTCTTTGGCATAATCGATTAAGTTATTTTGGGCATAATTCCCCTCTTCTCTCACAATTCGGTAGATTATTGCAACTTTAGCGCGTTTACACCTTGCTTTTTTTTTTTTTTTTCCCTTATTTTAATCGGACTTTGATTTGCGAGATTAATCTATTAAGTAAGAATAATTTGACTTTTTGATATGAAAATAATTTTTGCATTTGTCTTGAATATAATTTATTCCCATCAATAGTTTTTTACTGTCTTAAAAAAAGGCAGGCATTTATTTTTCTTTATATATTTTGTAAATAATTTCTGGCATTTAAAAATTTTCTTGCCGTTTGATTGGGAGAGACATTTAGTTCAGCTTATGGTATGAGGTTATAGAGACATTAGGTTATTTTGAAGTAGGAGACGTGAAAAATGAGCAATGCCCTCACCGGGACTCGAACCACGGACCTCTCGAATACGCATCAAGCGTGCTGACCACTACACCACGAAGACACGCTAAGAAGACGGAAGAAATACTTTATATACTACCCTTTTTAAAGGGCGACTGGGGATTAGGGAACCCAGTCGCTAAATACCGGTTGGTGAAGAATCATCATTCACCACACTTTAGTTCGGGCGTCACTGTAAAGTCATTAGAATTTTTTGAAGCAGGAGACGTGAAAAATGAGCAATGCCCTCGTCTGGACTCGAACCTGATACCTCTCGAATATGCGTCGAGCGTGCTTACCACTACACCACGAAGGCATGCTAAGAAGGGGGGAAATATCTTATAAGGCAAATCTGCAAATAATTTTATAAGGCTACCTAGCATTGGAAAATCCATAGTTCGAATCCCGTGACAGCATAGCTTATTTTTTATGTTTCCCGCTTCAAAACAATGCCTAATGTCTCTACAAGGGATGTCTTCGTGAAAGACTACTGAAGAAAAACTACTTTGTGTTTATACTAAGCACAGGAAAATGTCCATACTGTTAGCTTTTGCAATTTCCGGAAGAAAAAGGAACATCCGAATAATAAGGATAATTATTCACAGTGCATTTCTACATGCCATAATCTTAGAGTTCCTAATATAGAAATGGTCATTTTTCTTGAAATATTTCTTGAAACATTTCCTTTTCACATCCATGATCATTCAGGTAAATATTTTAACACTAAAGAGGTCTTCTTCTTTTTTTATAAATGTTTTAATTTCATTTGAAATAAGAATTTTCTTTTCGTAAACGAGGATATGAACTGTAATAGAGAAAGCTAAATCTGTACAGTTGTCAAGCTTGGTACATTGTTTGAAATTTACTGATCAAAACTTTTAGGCGAGTAGTTTTTTTTAATATTTGGTTCTGATTGTCTCTATATTACTCTATATATAGTATATGAAAAGAAAGAGAAAAAAGAGGTATTTGATGTTGTGAAAATATCCTTTTTTACTAGTTCAAAATTCTCCTAAACAAAATTAAAATTTTTTTTCATTTTCAAGATTCGTATATGTGCACATAAAAATCCAAAATTTATTTATTTTAATTAAAGCATAAGCATGTGGAAGATTTTTCTTCATTTCCTGCCTAAACTGCTATTAATCATAAAATGTATTGCTCAGAATGGCGCATTTTGTACTGAGGTATTTATTTTATTGATTTATTCCGTCATACAGCACGAGTGATAACAAGAAGCATTATATGTCGAGTTAATATTTTAAACTGTACACTTCCGTGTTCGTAAGGTCCTCAATGATCGGATGAATAATTTGAGAAAAAATTATTAATTACTAGAGCAAATATTTAGTTGAAAATAATTGGTGAAAGCTGCATGAATTCCAGATTTCATGGTTCTAAAATAATAATTTTATGCTATAAAACTGGCATAAAGTAAGAAGAATGAAAAAATTTTAAAGAAAATTTACTGCTGAAATTGTTACGTTTAAAGAAAATTAGCTTTTGCTTTGCGCACATTTTAGCTTTTGCGCACAATCCTGGTATGAGCAGAATATCTTTCTTTTGTTGTATGTCGCTGCCGTGAAGATGGATGCAAAACTAAACCCACGTATAAATATAATAAATGTGAATTATCGAACTTTTTTCCCTCCATTAGAATACATGTACTTCAGGAAGAGATCTGCTGGCATCTAAATTTAAACTAAGTCTCCTACATTCAGCTTAGTTTCCATTTTCTCTATAATGCTTTTAGATAGTATCTCAGGCCCTTTTTGGAATTTAGAGTTGTTCATGACAAGACACCTTAACGTTCTTCTTTTAGCATTTTGATGTATTTAGGATAGACAACATAATACCCAGTCCCGTTGTGCTGATGACAACTTCTAAGGCACTAACTCACGTAAGTATGAATTAAGAATCTAGCAAATTTAATGTAACTGAATGTCTTCTTTAAAAACTGAATGTCTTCTTTAAAAATTATGTGTAATTATACTTAATTCTTGACACCCGAAGTACGAAATATCACAGCTCCCTAACTAATCCTTTAAAAATGTATACTTTATTTTATACTTTACACTCTTAAGTAACTGTTGACTTATGCACTGACCTTGACACTAATTAATAAGGACACCCGCTTCTGTATCAGCCTAATATGAGGGAATTTAGACTCCTGGCTATAAAGACCTTGTTAAATGCAATCGAAATAAATTTTTATTCATCTTCAGAGCTCCAGCCAAAGGGTTTTTATAGTAAGAAAATTGTTTCCAGTGAATTTACAACACGCAGTTTCTTTGAACTAATTAATTGAAAATGGTGTATTTTGAAAGAGAAAGTATAATTTGCATAAATGTAAATAAACGGCTTGGTTAAGATTTGAATCTTGAGAATTTATGAATCCTTTATGTGCGAAAAAGTGAGCTAAAAGAAGCATAGATTTTTTTTCTGTTAATAATACAATTTGATTTATACATAGAAGGAATTAAATGATGGAAGCATCTTGATAACTTAACTCCATAGATTCAATCTAGTAAATTAATCTAATGTAAGCTTGTAAGCAAATGAACAATAATATAAAGCTTCTAACAAAATTAGAGATGCGTAAATATATTCATATCAAAATTATTCATCAATTAAAAATATGAAACGAAGCACGCATTTCATTTATTTGAAATTTTATTCTGAGTAGTTTGGTTGCACAATGGGAGCAATTTGTGTTTCATTGTTACAATTCAATTTGGAGCAACAGTTAGTTATTTATCACATGTTCGCATGGTTATAAATATTCACATCAAAATTCTTTTTGTTACTTCAGTTTTTTTCATTTATTAAGTGACCGTCTTAATCACAGCATATTTCCAATAAATACGTAACATTTTAACATATAATTTAAAAAAAAAATTCTTCAGGTAAATAATTTGTAAAAAAAGGAAATTCTGATTGACTGTCATTCTTTAATTGACTGGATAATTTGTTTTTTAAGTTATGAAACCCAAGTTTCTATCCTTAAAAGAGCCCACCAGCGGCCGAGCGGTAAAGTCGCTGAACACTGGTAGTTCGGTCCGAGGTTCGAATCGCGCGAATGGGCTAGCTGCATGGGCGTTTTCGTGGTTTTCCCCATGTGTAACGTGTATACGAGCCAGTTTCCCTTAGAAAGTCCTCCACGAAGGCATCCCTCCCCTTATGCAGATAGCCCTAGTGTGCTTTGCCATAATCACACACACACACTATCCTTAAAAGCCTTTTAGGTAGCATATTTTTATTTTCCAATGGCGGGCACTTGCCTCTAACGGCATTGGCCACTACTAAGGGCAGAAGTGATGGCTATTTTATTGTGGAGGCACATAATAGGCAGCCACCGTTACCTCCTATGAAGGAATAGACAATTTTACATCCATGCCTTTGCCTTCTCCGGGATTCGAACCCGGTTCTTCGGTATCACAGTCAGGCTCCCCTAACCACTATACCGTCCGGGCAGCTTTAAGTAGCGTATAACATTAGCTGATTTGAACGATCATACTTTATAAAATCTTGAACTATTTAAAATTCAAGTTTGTTTTTTACTTAAAGTATCTTCATTTGCATTAAGCATTAACTACCTGCGTGTTTATCTTCTAACCTTTCTGAAGAAAGTCTCCCCCCCCGAAAAAAAAAGAAAGAGCGTAGTGTAAGCCTTATTAAACATCATATATTTAAAGATTTAAGAAAAAATATATGTTCAAAAATAAGAATGCACCTATTGTTTTACTGTGGACGAGTAATCTAATACTGAACAGTCTTGCACTTCCAAGGGATTTTAACTATTTTTACTTCACTCGTCCAATCAGGTATACGAAGTTTACATTTCTGGATACCCACCACAGTGATAAATGTTGATGCCAGAGTCCTGTTACTGAATGATCTGTTTCCCTGTCTTCTTTAAGTGAACCAAACAAGGGATTACGGCCGTTGCGAATGGGTTCATCATGCGGTTGAGCTTATCTGCCCAAGACACGCTGCTCCGTCTCTTTCATCAATAGTTTCAGGTCTCGTTACGCAGTTGGGACTGAGCAGGGAAAATTCTGTTACCAGAGCATTTACTGTCTGAGTATTCATCTCCCCCACATAAGGCGAATAATTTCTATTTGCCTCGTTATTAAAGTTATATATGGAAAATTTTTAAATTAATAATTTATTATTTTTTTTAAAATGAAGTTATATTTCTTGGGTACTAAAATATTGACTTTTGATACTAAATGCAATTCTGAATACAAATCTGAAGCAATTCTGATACTTTGCAATTCTGAATTAGTTTATAATGCATTTTTTTGAAAGCATCGTAGAATGTTTTTATTTTCCATATTTAATGATTATGAAAACTTGTAACAATTACCAGTAATTCTTTTTACTGAATTTTTTACTCATATACTCTAGTCATCTGAATGGGATTTTATAGAACAAAATTTTTAAAATGATGTCACCATTTTTACGAATACTACCAAAATCATTAGTGCGTCGAAATGAAGTTATTGGTACTAAATTTAAAAAGAAAAGTATAATATTTAATAATGATTTTGTTTAATCGCCTTTCGAATGCACCTGAAATTAAGAACGGAATATTTTATCACAAAAATATTATTTTATCAATAACTGAGAATGCCAGGGAATGTTTTTTATTGCAAAATTTCAGTGCATGGTATTTAAATAAAAGAAAAAAATTCTTTATATAACAAATTATTCCAAGTATAAATTTAACTCCAAATTAAACTTTAAAAAAATTATTCCAAGTATAAATTTAACTCCAAATTTAATCCTCATCATTTGCTGTAATGGCTGAATGTTAAAAAATCAGAGTGAATGATGGTGATGTTTGTTTTTTGTTGCTTAGAAGTTATTTAAGTGGAAATTAGCAAAATTCAAATTTAGGTCTAGTCAATTCCGCGCAGTCACCATAGTATTTAAAACTGTAAAGAATTAGTGATGTTCTTCCTGAGCGCTCTGTTGGGTTTATAGGGGTTACCGCATCTACCTAGCGACGGCGCAGTTGAATTTTCACGTTTTCCCATTCTGTAATACTTAATAGTTTTTCTATAAAGTGACGTTTTGCTTTACATTAAACAACGAAATATAAGTATAAAGTATTAAAAGGTTAAATTGACCAACATAACCCACTCAAGAATTAAATTAACTATAAAAACTAGTGTAAGAGTTAATAAATATAAGGAAGATCGAGCTTTTCTTTTTCGCATCATGTAGAGGTTAACTCTCATCTTTTACTACGTTGAAAGAAATTATGGCTGATGCTTTCTCGTTTAAAGATAGTTATGATTCAAGCTATAC